GTAAGACCCAGAACCATTAAACTTCTAGAAGAAAAGATAGGCAGTACACTCTTCGACATCGGTCTTTGCAGCATATTTTCAAGTACCATGTCTGGCTGGGCAAGGGAAACAATAGAAAAAATAAACAAATGGGACTACATCAAACTAAAAAACTTCTGCACAGCAAAGAAAACCATCAACAAAACGAAAAGATAACCGAACAATTTGGAGAAGATATTTGCAAACCATATATCTGATAAGGGGTTACTATCCAAAATATACAAAGAACTCATACATCTCAAGAAGAAAAAAAACTAATAACCCCATTTAAAAAATGGACAAAAGATCTCAATAGACATTTCTCCAAAGAAGATATACAGATGGCCAACAGGCACATGAAAAGATGCTCAACTCATTAACTATCAGAGAAATGCAAATCAAAACTACAATGAGATATCACCTCACTCCTATCAGAATGGCTATAATTAACAAGACAGGAAACAATAAGTGTTGGAGAGGATGTAGAGAGAACCCTCATACACTGCTGGTGGGAGTGCAAACTGGGACAGCCACCATGGAAAACCTTATGGAGATTCCTCAAAGAATTAAGAATAAATCTAGCATATAATCCAGCTATTCCACTGCTGGATATTTAGTCAAAGAACATGAAAACACGAATGCATAAAGATACATGCACCCCTATGTTCATCGTAGCATTATTGACAGTAGCTAAGACTTGGCAGCAACCTAGGTGCCCATCATGGACAAATGGAAAAAGAAGATGTGGTATATATACACAATAGAATACTACTCAGCCAAAAGAAATGATGAAATCTGGCCATTTACTACAATATGGATGAACCTTGAGAGTACTATGCTAAGTTAAATGTCAGAGGGAGAAAGTCAAATTCCATATCATCTCACTCATAAACAGAAGATAAAAACAACAAACAAACAAACACAGGGAAACAGAGACTGGACTGGTAGTTACCAGAGGGGTAGGGGGAGGGAAGAGGGAGAAAGGGTGATTAGGCACACGTTTGTGGTGATGGATTGTAATTAGTCTTTGGGTGGTGAACATGATGTAACCTACACAGAAAACAAAATATGTAATGATGTACACCTGAAATTTACATAATGTTATAAATCAATGTTATCAAATAAATAAATAAATAAATTTAATAGGTTTCAATAGCTTTTTTCCCAAAGGCTTGTTCTTACATCAGATCTTCCTTAAAAGGTCACACTCCATCTTCATACTCTGCTCTGTCTTCACGACTTTTGAATTTCTACATGAATTTTATTATACATATGTTTAAGATGTGTTGCCTGGCTTCCTGCTATAAGTTCCATGAGGGCAGGAACCTTGTCTGACATTTATATTGCAGTATCCCTGGTGCCAGAACAAGACCATGCATCATGAGCACTTGATAAATATTTACTCAGCAAATCAACAGTGAATCTTAAGTACACGTTTACTACTGGGAAATGAATTTATGAAGATACTTTATAATTTTATTTACCCACTAATATATTTGTTTTCCCTAAATAGTGATCTAACAAGCACCAAAAAGATGTTTAGCATTATATAAGATATGTTAAACAGATTGATATGTTTAAGTATAAGCCTTATGCATCTGTTGTTAATGTTGTCAGTGGATTCTGACTCCTAGCAACCCTGGACAGCAGAGTGGAACCCTGCCTGGTCCTCTCATCTTTCAGGGCTCTATCAGACAACACTGCGCTGCTATTCATGGGCTTTATGGCCAATTTTTTTGGAAGTGGGTGGCCATGTCCTTCTTCTTAGTCTATCTTAGTCTGGAAGCGCTGCTGAAACCTGTCGACTATGGGTGACCTTGCCAGTATTTGAAATCCTGGTGGCAGAACTTTCAGCATCACAGTAACACAGCCGCCACAATACAACAACCCGACAGATGGGTTGTGCGATTCCCTGAGTGGGACACGAACCCAGGCCGCAGTGGTAAGAGCGCCAGGTCTTAACCACTGAACAACCAGGGCTGGCTATATTATGCTGTAGGTTGGAAGAAACTTTCAAAAGCATTTTATTTTGTTTTGGCTTGTTTCTAATCTTTTACAAAAAGGGAAACAGTGACATTCCCACTGGTATTTCCAATTTAAACTCCCCAAACCAGACTTCCTTGTGGTCTTCCCCACTCCAGTTAACGGCAAGACCACCCTTTCAATTGCTCAGGCCAACAGCTTTAGAGGCATTCTTCATCTTCCCTTTCTCCCACGCCCACAACCAATCCATTAGCAAACATTCTCAGCGCCACCTTCAGAATCTATCCAGAACGTGGCTTCTCATCATGACCACTTCTTATCCAAGTGTGCTGTTACCACCTGGGTCCAAGCCAGCGTCCTCATCTCTTCCCTAGATTACATACTGTGAGAGCCCCCTCAAAGGGCTTCCTGCCTCCCGCGTTACCCTTTTCTCAACAGAACAAAGTAGCTTTCTGCCTCAGAATAAAAGGCAAAGGCCTGCCGTGGTTTATAAGGCCTCCCTGTTCTGTTTCCCAGCCTCCCTTTTCCTCTCTGCCCAATCTCTTCTCATCTCTCCCTTGCTCTCCCTCCTCCCACCACGCTGTTCTCCTTGATATTTCTTAAATACTTCATGCCTACTCCTGCTTCACGACAGAGTTTTTCCTGACTAGCTAGCTTCTCCCCGCTTTCAGATGTGCGCTAAAACACTACCTAATGGAAAAGATCTTCCCCAGGGACCCCATACACACTGCTGCCCACCCTCCAGCCCTTCCCAGTTCCCTTCAATCTACACCATTAGTCAAACCAGACGAGTTAATTGATCGATTGATTGACTTTTTGTTTTCCTTGCTAACTCCTTTAGGATAAATGTTCTGTAAGGGTATAAATTTTTGTGTTTTATTCACTGACTTATCATCAGTACCTGGAAGAAAACCTTGCATATAGTTAAACATTCAGTACCTATTTGTTTGAAAGAATAAACAATGAGCAAATAAATTTAGGGTGATAATTTCTAAAACCAAATGGTATTTTGTCTTTTTATAGAATTGGTGAAAGAGAATATATCTGGAATGATTAATAATAAGTACAATTAAGGAATTCATATTTCCTGTAAAACCGAAGTTTAATGATTTTCATGTTTTATTTACAAATGTTTCATTATTTAAATACATATACACACACACAAATAAGGTTAACTTTTAGGTACTAAAACAATTTGCCAAGAGATCCATCATCTCTCTATACTAAACAGAAGGAAATTCAGCAAAGAAAATTTGCCATTAGAATCAAGCAGATGCCACTTTTATTTTCGTATTTGACATTATCAGTTGACTGATGTATCAGCCCAATTAACTAGCAACTATGGCTTTTAGTTATTGTCCTGGATCCTAAATATATTTAACTGTAGCTTTTATCAGTAAATAGAATCAAGGTGCATGTTGCTCCCTGCTTTGCATTTCTAGTATCAGGGACCTCTTCTCCTTCCAGAGGTTCCTATTCCAGTGTTAACTGATGTGGCAGTAATAGGATTTCTAACGGCAGCGTTGTTTCTCATAATGGTATACATCTAAAAAGTCAGCAAATAAGTTGCTCAAACCCCTTAAGCACAAGATTATTATATAGAGACTATATACAAACCAGGGCTTTTTGCAAGACTATCAAGAGCATATTAAAATTTTAATATGTAGGTTAAAAAAATCAAAGAAGGAAAACAGGATCTTTTCCAGAAGAAAATACACACATATTGGCTTCTATTTATATAATTCTTTATTGATACTTTGTAAATATTTACAATCATATGGGAAGATTTTCAAACAAGATTTGTTCCTCTCTTAAACCAAAAGTAAACAAATGTCCTCATTTGAACTTGTGTTTTAGGAAATCAAAGTTTTACTTTAAAAATATTTTGAATGATTTTGCCACAGCAAATAAAGCATGTGCTTTCAGAAACCCTCATTCTATTTTCCTGACATTATTGCAATGATCTAAATATCACATGGTAGGTCCTGCAGATAATACACGGCCAGATGCTGCAGGGCTGTGAAAGTACCCTGCCTAGCTTTAATCAAAGATACTAGAATATTACATTTGTGTGCATCCATTTGGATCTGGGAAATCTGTTTGATGATAAGAGACCAAATAATCCCATAGCTTTTGTTACTCTTTCAGCTAAACACCATGTGACTCAGTTATTTCTAGACAGTTCCCACAGGGATAGGAAAAGCAGCGATGTGCCACATCTACTTTTCTCTCTTTTTTTTTCCCTACAGGAAAATGCTAAGCAAATACAACCGTCAAACTTACCTGAAAACACATTATTCTTACTAAAAGTTAACTGACTTAAGAATTGCATCCAAGTGCTCTCTTCTTTACAGCCAGAAGTATCACAAACTGTTTTCAAACCTTTCAAAAGTTTCCAAAATTCAAGATTGGCCTTTCCTGTATGCTTATGGAAAGCCATTAAATTTACTATGTTTTCTTTGCTCTTATATTCATGAATAGCGAATTTACATGTAATTAATATTAAATAAAAGCATAACAATTTTATAATTCATGATGTTAAAAAAACATCTAAAATGAGGCAGAAGACAATCATGGAGTGATGACAGTTTTAGAATAAAACAGGGTCACTATAAAGTCTGAAATCACTTTTCAACTTTAAAAATTAGACCATGAGAGCAACAGAGTTCAAGACAGTTACATCAAAAACAGATATATAGCACTGTCTTATTTCCAATCCCAGGGCAAGTGCACAACTTCTAACAGAGAAAAGCTGGCCAGGTCACGTGGCTAGTTTTCACATCTGAAAATGGTGATAATAACCCTTTAGGGTTGTGGTGAAGAAAAACTAGTCAATATAAGTAAAATACTTAAAACCGTCCCTGGCACACAGACAGAAACGTCAGCTATTACGCTTACTCTGACCCATAGCAAGCCATATCAGACAAAAAGACGTTTCTATAACACACGCCCTATTTGCTTTCAACTTTATCAGAACTCTGTGAAGCCTCATACATCACCTCGTCATTGATCCTCTTCCTTGGAGACTGCTGATGTGTGACATTTGATTTTGCCTTTTCTGCTTTTCTCTGACTATACTGTTTATATGCCTTTTTCATTTCAGTTTCGTATTGCTGATATTTTAGTTTATATTTGTCTGTCGGGGCTGGCAAGTTTTCAGGAATTACGTCCTGCTCCTGGAAGTAAAAAGAAAAAGTATGCTATCCACCAGAAAAAAACAAAATTATTATTAACTTTCCTTATTAACATTATCAGACTTATCATTTACCTTAGCATTATTATGCCCAAGGAAGAGACTGTTATTACCTATGTTCTAAACAGAGGTGATATTTAAAACATTTAGCTGGTACAACATCTCTGAGCAATCAGAGCTCACAGAACCGCTCAGAATGGTTACCGGCCTTCAAGACCAGTGAGTCTGTCTCTTGTTCTCAGCTGAAAGTCAGTCCTGGTTCTAAAACAAATTGAAAGGAGAAAAAATGGCTTTTCTTTCTTCTTAGGAATTTTAGATAGGCTTTTTTTTTTCCTGCTCCAGAAAAACTCCACTGTCAACCATTTCTTCTATAATAGTCATAGGAATTGAAGAGACTAATACTGAGAAGCACTCGTTGCCATTTCTAGAATATTGGGATATTCTACCTTGTGGTTTTATATGGTCCCCTGCCACATTTCCTTGGGACAAGAGATAACACAGCCAGTGGATAAGAGAAACCTAACCAGCACAGTAAGCAAACACATGCACCAGAGAGAGACAGGTGCTCCAAAAGGAGTACAGCACAGTCTGTATCCAGAGGGAAGGGCGATGCAAAGCTTCAGGGTGAAAACTGCAGCACAGTCCAGACCGGGGTCCTATTCCCGCAATTTACCCAAAATGAGACTGAGGAGACCGGGCACATGGCCCGCTACAGGACAAAGACTAACAAAGACAGAAAAGCAAGCGCTGCTCACAGGATACTGGTTAGAACTTGTATTTATAATGTGGAATAAGACACTGAGTATCGTTTGAGGTATAAATATGTCCCGAGGAGGCATCTTGGAATAAGAATGGTTACTTACTTCTCCACAGCATCCTACTAGCCTAAATTATGAGTCAGTTTCCAAGAGACCAATTTTATATGGCTAAGCCAGCAAGATCTTATCTAATATTCTGCCATAATTTTTAATCCCTGGACTGCCTATTAGTATAAACCTGTACTTGACCAATTTTATAAGATATTTTAAAAATACCATTCTTACATGAGGAAAAACGTAAAACAAAGTAAAATTATTCCACCAATATTATTGTTTGTGATGTTAATATATAAAATACTTACACTGGATAAAGCATAGACTGAACATAATGACATTTCTGGATTAAGTACAGCGCTAAAATACATACTATAATCCTGAAAGTTGGTAAGGAGAAATAAATACTAACCAGTTCACCTAGACGCTGAGTATATGGAATGCGACATGGTGTGACCCAACCAAAAGCAGATGAATTTGGTGGGTTAAAATAAATATGTGCTGTACTAAGTGGAACATATGAAAAATCATCCTGAAAATAAAATTAAATGACAATTATATGCTGTCTGTAATGTTGTGTTCAAATGTTTATCATATTAAATACCAAGTAAAAATTACCTCATCAGCAGAGTCAATAAGGCTTGCCAAATCAAGTCGTGGGACCCTGAAAGAAATAATCTATGCATCCCATAACTTTTAAAAATAAGACTTTAAAAGTTGCAAACCATATACACTCCATCTTATATAAACAGGTACACTGAAGCCATTGGTGAGCTGGCTCCCAGCAGCTGTGACAGGCTTTTCTTAAATGTTCAGTAATTTTTTGAGCTGGTTGTTACCAAAGAATTATTAAAAATAAAATTATATAAACACAATTAAGTACATTATATTAAAAACAAAGGTAATAAATACTGAAAAGTCATCACTTCTTAATGGTTTTACTATGCTTCGCTGTCACCTGTGTTCTGGAGGTTCCTTCTATCTACCGTAGCATGGGGTAACACAAGGGTGCACATCCCTCTCCAACTCGGGGCTCTGAGACCACATGGAGAGCCTGAAATCACCACAGCGGGCCCTTCGCACAGGAATGAACCAGTGCTATGAGGCAGGACTTGATATGTTACTCTGTTGATTGCTGAGACTTGAAAGAATGGCGGAGCAAACGTCAATATGCCTATGAAACTTAAAGTGCATCATGTCTGTAAGTGGCACATTGTGCGTGACAAACACTGAGGAAATATTGTTTCACTATTCAAAACTATTACATGATTCAGCAAAGAAATCACTTCACTCTACAACAACATTCATCTTGGTTGATATTTTCACGTAAAATTTATAATCAAGTTAAAATATACCTAATTTTATTTATAATTCCCAAGTAAAATTTATTAAACATCCATCAGCACCCAACTGACTGTCCTCACACCCTCAGTACCTTGTACACAGCATGTGTACCTAGCTTGATTCTTTGTCTAGAGGAGCAAGCAGGGGTCTCTTATGTGGAACCATAGGAAATTGCTGCCATTTGCCCATTTTCAATCTGTAAAAATGTTGACTTTATACAGTTCAGCCTTATAAATTATAGTTTTTAATTTCTATTTTCCAGAAATCTTGTAAGTCTAAAATACTTAAAACAATATAAAAATCATATCCTTCCAAATTTTAAAAGGCAAAAATGTAAAATATAAAACATAAATTAATATATTCTAGTCCCAAAATAAAATCCTTTTAGTAAGATTGATAAAATTGTCATATTCCTCAAGATAAGATCAAAGCACAGATATACCCCCATTAAGTTCATTTTGACTATCCCAATTATAAAATGCAAGATTTCATATATTTGTTTAATAAATGCATGTAGCTGAATTTTCTAAATAAAACAACATTTTAACTCTTTCAAGATAATATAAAAATAATATTAAAGAAAATTAAAAAACAAGAGACACGGGCCGGCTCCGTGGCCGAGTGGTTAAGTTCACGTGCTCTGCTGCGGCGGCCCAGGGTTCGGATCCTGGGCGCGGACATGGCACCGCTCGTCAGGCCACGTTGTGGCGGCGTCCCACATCCCACAACTAGAAGAACCTGCAACTAAGATATACAACTGTGTACGGGGGCGGTTTGAGGAGATAAAACGGAAAAAAAAAAAAAAAACAAGAGACATATTTCCCTTAGTCCGACCATCCTATCACAAGAGCAGCTTTAATTTTAGCAGGGTCATTTGCAGGCCATCCACATGCATAAAATTTTTTCTGTGGTTCACAATCATAGCTACATATATCATTTTGCTTTCTTTTCATGCTTCTCAATGTATTATAAATATTTGCCCATTATACTGCTCAAAGGTGAAGAAATGTGACTTACACAGGTAGGCAAGGATTCTGGATTGCCCACGATCTCGAAGTCCATCCTTGCTTTAATTAAAAAAAAAAAGAATCAGTGTGCATATATCCCGTATTATCCCGTATTTATACCTTAAAAGACAAGCAGTGTGTCAATGCAATAAGGCTAATTACAATTTTTCTCAGTACACTTTATATAAGAAGTATTTATTAAGCCCTCCTTACTGTGCCTGAGACACGAGACAGGATGATTAGCAACAGAGGTAATTCTTGCCCTCAGAGCGCTCTGTCTGCTGGGGAAGACATTCCTGCAAATACTAATGCAGAAAACACGTGCCGTGACAGAGCAGCTGCACAGAGCATGTACCCAACCTAGTCTAGGAAATTGAGGAGGTTTTTCAAAACGAAAAAGTAACCTTTAAATGAAGCTCTGAAGGATGAGTAGGAGTTAGCCAGATCAAGAGAGAAGGGAGAAAATCGCTTCAGCCAGGAGGAACAATTTGTGCAGCACAGACAAACAGACAAGAGTCAGCTGTCGGAAAGGGCTGAAATCCTGAGTGTGAGGAGGTAGAGGTCAGAGCTGTTACACTATAACACAGGTTGAGGAACCTGGACTTTGCCCTAAAGGTAATGGGAGGGCAGGTGGTGCAGGATTTCAGCAAGGAAGCGACAAATATATACACGTATATGTTTGTAAATGTTCAATCTTATTGCCAAAAAATTGTGCAAAGACTTGAAAATTACAGTGAGCTTAGTCACCATGGAATGAGAAATATGTATGAATCTTAGGGAAAGTTCAAATAAATAAAAGCAGGAAATAACTCACTCATCAGCACTTACAGCTTATTTCTGAAATGTTATCTAACTGGTCATTTTTGTGATACCGACGGCAAGTACAGAAATTATATTCAAGACTGAGCTTCATCACTCTGACCATAAGAGTAAGAGAAAACAAACTCAGCTCAGAATCAAATTAAATACGGCATTGTTTTAGATACTATCCTAATAAATAATTAAAATATAGCAATGTAAAATCCAAGATGATCATTTAAATTTTAAAAATATATATTATATATAATAAAATAAAAATAAATATAATTTATTAATTATATTAAATTGATAAAATAAAATATAATTTTTTATGTTTGTGTGTGTGTGTGTGTGTATATATATAAAATGTAGCCTAATATAGCAGCATACTTCCATTATCCATCAAAGATTTTCTTAATTGCTTTTGGGGAACATTATGACCTCATCTAACTTTAGGGAGAAAACCTAAATAGAATACACTTGTAGTTGTCATAGTCATCATGATCATCATCATTATTATTCCCCAGAAAGTGTTTTAATAGACCTATAGACTGTCTTCTGAAGTCATAGGCATAAATATTTTAGAATGGTATTTACTTTTCTTGTCTAATTCCAACAAAACTGTGTTAGCCAATCCAGAATAGACAAATTAGTTTACAAATCCCTAGGCTGGGGGTCAGCAAACTATGACCCAGCTCTGTTTTTGTAAATAAAGTTTTATTGGAACATAGCCATATTCATCTGTTTTACAAACTGTCTATATGTTCTCACTACAACAGCAGAGTTGAGTGGTTGGAACAGAGACCACACAGCCCATGAAGCCAAAAATATTTACTACCTGGCCCTTTATTTAAAAAGTTAGATATTTCTGTATCCTCTCATTTAAAAAAAAAATAGACTTTAGGGGTCAGCCCCATGGCCTAGTGGTTAAGTTTGGTGTGCTCCACTTTTGGCAGTCCAGGTTTGGCTCCCGGACATGGACCTACACCACTGGTTGGTGGCCATGCTGTGGTGGTGACCCACATACAAAATAGAGGAAGACTGGCACAGATTTTAGCTCAGGGTGAATCTCCCTCAGCAAAAAAAAAAGACTTTATTTAAAATACACCTTTTAAAATAGACTTTATTTTTTAGAACAGTTTTAGGTTCACAGCAAAACTGAGTGGAAGGCACAAAGATTTCCCATACAGCCCCTGATCCCACACATGCATAGCCTCCCCCGTTATCAAAATCCCCCACAAGAGTGATACATTTGTTAGAACTGATGAATCTACACTGTACATCATTATCATCCAAAATCCATAGATTACGTTAGGGTTCACTCTTGGTGTTGTACATTTTATAAGTTTAGACAAATTTATACTGACATATATACTGTCTTTTTCACCTTTTATTATAAGCTATTTCTATGCTACTCCTTAAAATCATCTTTTTTATTTTTTTACTTTTTTGGTGAGGAAGATTGTCGCTGAGCTAACATCTATGGTAACTTTCCTCTATTTTGTATGTGGGACGCTGCCACAGAATGGCACGACCAGTGGTGCATAGGTCCACATCTGGGATCCAGGCCTGTGACCCCATGGGCCACCAAATTGGAGCATGCAAATTTAACCACTACACCACCTGGCCAGCCCCTAAAATCATCATTTTTATGTCTACATAATATTCCATCTAAAAGTTGTACATTAATTTATCTAATATTTCTCAATTGCTACATATTTTTCAATATATTTTGCACTATTAAAAAACACACTTCAAAAAATATCTTTCTTTTCATTTGGCATTTTCTATATTTTGAATTGTTTCCTTAGGACATATTACCAGGTATGAAATTTTTTGCATCAAATAATTTGAACACTTTTGTAGCTCAATACACACTGCCAATCTCGTTTCCAAAAATGTGGTACCAATTTACAATGCACCAACTCTAGTTCTGAATACTCTCAATATTACATTTTTCCCCTAATTTAATAGACACATAAAAGAATATCATTATGTTAATTTTCATCCCCTTATCAGTGGAACTGAAGAACTTTTTATATTCTTATCTCCCACATGTATTTATCGTTGTTGGTGTTTATAATGATATTTAAAGCATTAAGTATCGTTTTTTAAAAAGTTTACATATTATTTCTCACTTTTAATTCTAGCTTTTAGAAGACTCCAGAAATGGCAGCTGATAGCTATGATATCAATACTTTGCTGACAAACTCTAAGAGATGATAACCTGATATCTGGGATTATTGTTTTCTTAAGAAACAAGGGTTCTAAGATAAACATAAACTTTTTCCCTAACTCTACTACTAGCTGGACCTTCCTAATACAGAGACGAAGGCATTAAGACCTAAATAAAGATATGATTTTGGCAGAAAAAGGTAATTTTAGAAATCATTTTTTTAAGGACTTAAACCTTGAGCTTTTCCTAACAACCAGGAAAAAAGCTGAAGCATCCACAACATGATAACCAAACAATCAGCGGGAAAGGCGATAACACTGTCCTTGACATTCTGACCAGCAGGAAGGGCTGCTTTGATTCAAATCACCAAATAGTCCGGATTTAACCCATAATACTGCGACCAGGAACCCCAAGGCACTAACTGATCCATACAAAGGGAGACGGTTGAAGACAGAGTAAGGCGCACAGATCTTGAAGTCAGAACCAGAGTTCAAAATCCTGACAAGTCACTGAATCTCTAGTTCTTCCCTATCTTAAAGCAGGGTAATAAGAATACCCACCTCAAAGGTTTGTTGTAAGAATTAAGTGATACGAATTATTGAAACACATATCATGGTCACTGATAAGCAATAGGCATTCAATATTTGAAATAATAAGAATAGCAAGGAAATACACATCATTTTTATGTTTCTAAACTAAATTTTGTATTTACCCAATCCTGTGGTGGATACAGGAACAACGTAGCTTTAAACTTGCACTTAATTATCAATGATATACACAACAGTGACATTATGAAGGCTGAGAAGAATAAAAGTCCTAATAATAGAAGCCCAGATTCTCTTCCTATCTAGCTAACACAAAATGCATACTGATATTTTCTTCTTCTATTTTTCTTTTTTATATTTTCTGCCGACATACAGATGTTTTTTAATAATAAGAAGAAACAATAAGCTTCATTTAAAAAAATAAAGCTAATTCAAGTAGTGACCAATTTTTAAGTAATAATTATCTTCAATTTTGGTGCTTCAATTATTCAAGTCTAGGAAATATTGATCCTAAATATTTGGGAGTATAAGTAGCCATAAAAACACGAAGAAAGGAATCAGAAAATTATTTAACGAATTATCCTACAAGGGGAAAATCATATAGCATACATACTCGTAGTGGCTTCTTTCTTCCAGAGAATGGCTGAGTTTGACTTGGAGAAGCAGCAATTCCTTTAACCTCTAACTCCATTAAAGTTCACGTATTTATCATGCAGGATACTGTGAAAAAGGTAAAATAAACATAAAATGAAAATTATTACTCTAATTTTAAATAAGCCATGCAAATTACATAATAATACTACATGGAAAGAAATGAGGTGGTTAATCACTTGTACTTCTTTCAACAAAATCAACTTTCTGTGAGGCAATTACATTACATGAGGCAACTGTTGTGGGGCAGATACTGGTGGGAAGGACGGCCCCCCAAAGATGTCCATGTTGTAATTACCAGGCCCTGTGAATATGCTGCCTTACATGGCAAAAAGGACTTTTCAGACATGATTAAGATAAGGATCTTAGGGGCCAGCTCCGTGGCCAAGTGGTTAAGTTTGCGCACTCCGCTGCGGCGGCCCAGGGTTCGGATCCTGGGCGCGGACATGGCACTGCTCGTCAGGCCACATTGAGGCAGCATCCCACATCCCACAACTAGAAGGACCGGCAACTAAGATATACAACTGTGTACCCGCGGGGAGGGTTTGGGAAATAAAGCAGGAAAAAAAAAAATTGGCAACAGTTGTTAGCCCAGGTGGTCAATCTTTAAAAAAAATAAAATAAAATAAAAAGATAAGGATTTTCAAATGTGGACATTATCCTGGAGTATCTGGTGGCCCAATGAATCCCCCGGGTCCTTATAAAAGGGAGGCAGGACAGTCAGACTGAGAAAGAGAAGACATAAGGATGGAGGACAGGTCAGAGAGGAGAGAAGATGCTATGGAGCTGGCTCTGCAAACGCAGGGAGAGGTCACTAACAGTCTCCGGAAGCTGGAAGAGGCCAGGAAGGGACTCTCCCCCGGAGTCTGCAAAGACACCAGCCCTGCGGACATCTTGATTCTAAGCCCTGCAGGCCTCATTTGTACTTCTGGCTTCCAGAACCATAAAATAATGAATTTGTTTTAAACCACTAAGTTTGTGGTAATTGTTTACAGCAGCAAAAGGAAACTCATGCACGTACCTCATCTCCACCACAAAGCAATACAAATTTACTTTCTTTACTCTTTTCCTAAAATTTTATGAGTTTTGATTTTTGCCAGAGTAGGCTGATGAAAATATTTTTAGCAAACAGAATCTGTATCTAATACAAAGAATAAAGTGGAGTGAATGGTCCAATTGTAATTATGAAGTGATAGGTAAAAATGCTTGCAAGAAAATATGCAACTTGCAAATATGTACAAAACAAAAATCACATGACTATCTCAGTCATCCAAATTTTGTGTGTATATATATATATTTCTTTTTGGTGAGGAAGGCTGTCCCTGAGCTAACATGTGTGCCAATCTTCCTCAGTTTTGTATGTGGGATGCCACCACAGTGTGGCTGACAAGTGGCGTAGGTACGCGCCCAGGATCCGAACCTGTGAACCCAGGCTCCTGAGGCGAAGCGTGCAACTAACCACTATGCCACTGGGCCAGCCTCCCAAATTTTGTATATTTTATTTTATACTTCGACCTTATGTTCCCAAGGATATATTTGTGCCCAATGATTCATTCATACCTTCTTTTTCTATTGTTAGACTTGGATTTATTCGAATAGTAATTTTTTTTTTAAGGAAAGATAACACAGCATAGCGTCAGCTTGGAGTCAGATAGACTGACATTAAAATTCTCATTTCTGACACTTTCCCATAGTGTAAGCTTGGATAAGAACTTTAATCTTTCTGAGCCAATATTTCTAAAATGAGTTTAATGTTAGCACCTTTCTAATCCTCCTCTACCCTGTGGAACAGGGTTAACATTCAATACATGGCAGCCATCATCATTATCATAAAAACGTAGTTTTATTTTATACTCAATGAAGTAAGGAACGATAACTCAGTTCCTTACTAACTTATCTATATAGTTCCCTTCGCCCTATTTCCACAGCCCCTCCCCTACAAACTCCTTGCTCTAAGCTGGAATTCTACTATAAGAGCAAAGTCAAGATGACTTACCGACCAACAGTAGCCATGTTCTGAAAACATCACAAATCATCAGATTTGAAAATAGTCCTATAGCAGTAGCCAGCCTATGGCTTTCTTTTCAGGGATATCTTTCACAAAGAAGCCAGTATTTAAACTTGTTTTTGGTTTGGATGGGGGAGGGAGTAGTTGTTTACATTTAACCACATCAAAAGAGCTGTTCTATTTGTCATGAGGGTTAGTGGCCAACAACCCAAGCTGAGACACGGATGCTCAGCAAACAGCTAAGGGATTTTCTCCACACGTCAGTGTCACAATTATTTATACCTTAGTAACATTACAGCCATTTAAAATCACTAGAGGTCACTTTAAATCATTATAATGCATTTGGAAATAATAAAAACAACAAAATTTAAACCCTCAAATGTCCAGGTCATCCTAGTCCCTGGACTTCCTCCGGCACGACAGTCATCACGCTTCACTGTAATTAGTTCTTTTCATCTCCTAATAATGGTGGTATCTCGTGCTATATTAATAGCAGGTACTTAATAAATATTTACTTAGTCAATCAATAAATTAATGCATAGTCTCAATAAATTAATGCGTAGTATGTGTAATAGCTGTACACATTTTAAACATATTCTTATATCAGTTTCACTTCTCTGCACTTATAATTATGACATGATCACAATGCCCACATATAAATTGCCTTCAAACAATTAGATAACATGTTTGTAGCATGAGTGGTAACTATTTTTCTTCACCACTATACTATAAGCCTCATAAAGGAAGGACTACCATTTTGTTCACCCTATATCTCAGCACTTAGCAGAAAGCCTAGAAAATAGTAGGAACTTAAATATTTGTTAAATAAGTGAATTCAGTCAATTCAGATATGAGTTATTTCAAAACTACAATTACTAGCATACAAATGGTTCATTCAGATATGGGAGCCTTCAAAGGGCCCGTCATCATATAGGGGGCCTCCAGAACCCAGAGCACAGAGCACTCAGCTCAGCGATACCCTGTGTCAGAGAGAGAAAGCTCAACCTTCGGATTTCCACACTGAGGAATCTGAGACCCAGAAAAGTGAATTTTACTTTGCCAAATTATTTGCCAGTTATTACAGACCCTGTATTCACACGTTTCAGCCCCCCTTCCAGTTCTGCACCCCTCCTGGTACAGGTGATAGTCAGAAGAATGGGAGGGGAATTAGCTGCAGAGACTAAAGAACACCGGAAACCTAAACTTGGTGGCAAAAGAATCAGCATTTCAAACAAATGGGCTGTGAGCCCATCTTTGGAATGGATGCCAAGGGTTGTCTTTGTCCTAAAACACTGACCATCCAGCTGGGGTGTGTTGAGGGTGGGGGAGGATGGGGGGAGAAGGAGGGAAGAGCACTTCCGAATGGTTTGTCTCTGCCCAAACTGCTGCCAAGACGCGAGATGTTACTCCTAACATGAAATGAATGTTGCTGACTAACAGATCCACAACTTACCATATTATCTTTAGAGCTACCAAAAAGAACTGAACTCGCCTACCCCTTCCCTCATTTTTTAAGGATGATTATTTCCAATTCTAATTACCATCACTTCTCTCTTGGCTAGTGACATTAGTGACTATAATGTTGCTTTTACCAAATCAGAAGATAGTAGAAAGCAAAGAATAAATTGATCAAAACCAGTCCATAATCAAGGAGAGGAAAGAGATTTGTAAATACAATTTAATATCTAAGCCCCCCGCAGGAGACCAAGTGATTACAAACCCAAGTATTTGAATTGAACCTGGCATCATTCCTAATTTCAAACACAGCAGAGTAATTGCCCCCGCCCCCATGACTCCCCGAAAAGTTGAGATTATACTTAAGAGTACCTGCAATGTACCAAGAGGAATGCTCCACCTTGTTCCTGTCTGGAATTCACGGACTGGGATGGGACACCAGAGGCAACCAACCTCACTTGACCAACAATTTGGGTAAAGAGCAAGTCCGGAGTGGGAGGGCTGGGAAAGCTACAAACCAGGGCGGCTCCCCGAGAACCCTCCTGAGACAGCTTCAGACACACAGTCCTCAGCGAGGCTCGGGCCGCGCAGGCCGGCGTTCTCGGTTGCCCGGCAACAGGCGCCTCCCCGGGGGCCTCCAGTCCCTCTCTCGCTTCCTGGGAAAAGAAGTCCACCGGCTGCCACCGCCTCCCCTTCGCCGTCCCGCCCGCCGCCCCGCCCCAGAGTCCCGCGCCCCGCGGAGCCGAGCCCGCGCGCGCCCCTCCGACCCCGGCGCCCCGCGGAGGAAGCCCGCGCGCGCTCCCCCGACCCCGCCGGGCACGGGGCCGCTCGCTGGCAGGCGCGGTCGCAGCTCGAAGGGCAAAGCCCGGGCGTGCGCGCTGGCGTAGTATGTAATTCTTCATTTCAGGGAATTCTGCTTAATGTGTTTTATACAGCATTACTTTAAATATGCATGCACATATACATATATGATCACATATGTAATTATGGATATAATTACAAATGAAAATACTTATATAATGGAAAAGGAACGGACCAAGGAATCAGGAAACTTCCGTTGTATTCTTTGCTCTGCACACCATGTCTTTGGGTGTCAGCTCCTTATCAATCAAAGGAATAGTCTGGTTTGAGAGGTTTCTGAGGTTCCACTCCCCTCTAATATGCGTCACTTTCCTGAATTACACAGTCAAGCGTCAGATACCTGAATTGGGACTACGATCTTCTGAAGCCTGATCCAGTTCTCTTCCCGCACAATCAACTTGTTTCTCTAATCTTCAGTGTCTTTTCAAAATTAGCTTCTCTCAAAATGCATGTATCTCAATTTGCAGGTGGGAGCCAGTTTTGGAGTAAAAATACAAATATATCTAAAAGCATAACAGTAGTGAAGTCAATGGGTATCAGGCAATCACTCCTGTTTCTCTCCTACACTCCAGGAAGTTCCCCCACCCCCCAAAGATAAACTGAGAAAAAAAGGAAAAAGGAAACAAAAACTGAACTTCAATTTTTATAAGCTTGTCAAAGACCTTAAAAAATTCTACTACTCAACTAACCTTGCCCCTTCCACAAATAGGTATTGAAGACAAGAGCATTAGAACCTGTCCTTGTCTGTTCCTGGCACGGAGGCTCAGTACACATAAATTGCTCCAGTATTTCTGAATACACTTCTTTAAGCTATTAGGAACATGGTCTAAAAAAACACATTTACACAATTCAGATATTGTGTTAAAACATCTATTATAAAAGCAATAATCATGGATCTATGTTTTGATTATATAAATTGTACTTTTCAGTCAATTTTCAAAACAATTAACTACTCTATGAAAGTTCTGTTGTTATTACAGCCAATTAATGTCTGTATACAAAATGGAACTAAATTAGCTATATGTTAACCCATATTATTTGCAGATCCAAAATAATTTGCATTTGAAGCTCAAGACACATCCATTGAACACCTGCTATCTGCAAATAAATGCAATGTTAGAAAAAGTGAAGTATATAAGCCTACTCAACGTTGCCTTTTAAATTTTTAAGTCTAAAATATTTATTGAGCCCCTAGCGTGTCTGTGACAAATGAGATATAGTTTCTAAAGGAGCTTACAATTGTATACAACTTTATTAGAAAGTTAAAGCGTGCTCATTTCTTCATTCAACAAATATTTGCTGAGGGCACACGGGCTCAGTATCTGCTCTGGGTGCTGCTAGAGCAGTGAAGCAAACAACTGCACTGCTTTAGTGAAGGTTACAATCTCATAGAAGCAACAGCATTAAATAAACAAATGTCCAATGTGGAGTAGCAATTAACACGGTGAGGAAAAATACAGCGGGCTAATGGGATAGACACTGGCATGTAGGAGGTGTATGTTGTGTGTAGCTGTGTGATCAGGTATGGCTTCAATGGGGGGAATTCTGCAGGTAAAGGGGACAGCAAGTGCAAAAGGCCTGAAGAGACAGCATCCTCGTCAAACTGGCAGATGTGGCTGAGGTAGAGCGAGCCAGGGGAGAATGTAGGAGAGAGACCCGAGATTAACTGCGGTCAGGTTCTGTAGTGCCTTGGGGGCCATACTGAGGTCTTCAGATTTTATAAGTGTGGTAAGAGGTCGTTAGAGGGTTTTGAAAAGAGGAGGGATTATGTTTTAAAATCTGGCTGTTCTATGGAAAATAAATTGTAATGAAGTAGGAATGGATACTGAGAAACTGAGTAGAAAGATGTGACTGCCTTTGTCCAGTAAGAAATGGTGGTGGCTCTAACCAGGATGTTGGCAGTTTGCAGAATGGAAAGAAGTGTTTGGATTCAGGATATAGTTTAAAAGTAGAGCTAACAGGATTTGTAAATTGATTGAATGCAGTGTATGAGAGGAAAGGAAGAATAAAGTAATAAGGCACATGAAGTGTTTGGAGGAGTAAGAGGGTATGATGATTAATTTTATATGTCAACTTGGCTAGATGATGGTGGCCAGGTGTTTGGTCAAATACCAGTCTAGATGTTTCAAAAAGATAGTTTTTAGATGAGAGTATCATTTAAATCAATGGACTATGAGTACAGTAGATCACTCTCCAAAGTGTGGGTGAGCCTCATCTAATTGGTTGAAGGCCTTAAAAGCAAAGACTGAAGTTTCGCAAAGAAGATGGGATTCTGCCTCCAGAGTGCAACATGGGAAGTCTGCATGAGTTTCCAGCCTGCAGCCTCAAGTCTGCAGCATCAGCTCTCCCCAAGTCTTCCACCTGTCTGCTGGCCATGCAGACTGGGCTTGCCAGCCCCACCATTGTGTGAGCCAATTTCTTTAAAATCTCTGTCTGTGAGTATGTGTGTGTGTGTGCGTGCTTGTGTGTGTGTGTGTGGGTGTAAAGTGGGGGGCATATGTTCTGGTGTTCCTTTCTCTGGATAACCCTGACTAATGCAGAGGGAAAAAGAGAAATAGACACAGGAACATGAGGTGATTTAGTGACAGGAGATTCCTTCTAATTGGAGGACCTTGTAAAAGGAACTAACATTTGATCGCAGTCTTAAAGATTCATTTGTTAATTGGTTCGTCAAATATTGAACTCCTCTGTTGAGATGCTTGGGATACTGTAGTAAAAAAATAGCAAATAAGCAGTCCCTCCTCGTGGGGCTTGCATTCAATTAAGGGGAGAGATGATGGCAATAAAAATAAGAAAATTGCATCATAAGATGTGAGGATAAGGGCTATGGAGAAGCGTAAGGCAGAAAAAGGCTAATGGGAAGTGACAGGGTAGGATGGGTAACATACAATCCCACTGTCAGGTCTTTTGAAAAGGTGTAATTGGAGCAGATGTTTGGAGGAGGTGGTAAAGGAGCCGTGGAGCTTTCAGGGAAGAGACTTCTAGCTGAAGAAACAAGAGCAAGCGCCCAGCGGCAGGAGCACCTTGGCTTTTTCAAGGAGCAACAATGGGGCCAGAGTGTCTGGAGGAGGGAAAAGGGAGGGGAGAGAAGCAGGAGATGAGATCAGAGAGGGGCACTACTGTGTAAGGGCCTGGAGGCCCTTGTGAGGCCTCGGGATTTTGCTGTGAGTGCCTGGGCAACCGATAATTGGAAGATTTTGAGCAGAGGAGTGACATGATCTGACTTACATTTAACAGCATCACTCTGGATGCTGTGTTGAGAACAGTATTTAAATATTTGAATATGAAGATTATAAATATAGATAAAGGCAATGGAATGAGGTCTTAGAAATACTCTCTTATTTTCCTCTAGAGATTTTTTTCACATTTAAGTCTTAATCTGGAATTTAATTTTGTGTAACGAAAAGGAAGTGATTAAATCTTACATTTTTCCACAGGATAAGTAATTATATGAGAATATTTTTTAAGAAGCCCATATCACCTAACTCATCAAAAATGCCATCTCTGTTGTATACCAGTTTTGAGAGGTACATACGGGTACTTCTTGACTATTTTTTCATTCTATCTACAGTCATGCACTACGGAAGGACATTTTAGTCAACAATGGACTGCATATAGGATGGTGGTCCCATAAGATTAGTACCGTACAGCTAGGTGTGTAGCAGGCTATACCATCTAGGTCTGTGTAAGTGCACTCTGTGATGTTTGCACCTGAAAAAATCGCCTAAAGATGCTTTTCTCAGAATGTATCCTCCATGATTATGTGGCACATGACTATATTTATAACTGAATACCAATAAAAGTAGTATACTTTCAAACCTTGAGTTGCAGCTCAAGTTGTAATTCAAGAAACATCAATAATCTTAAATACATATGAAGAAAGAAAAAAGTAAACACTCTTTCTGATTTCTTGACTTCTATTGGGTTGATTAAATATCCTTCTTTTGTCATTTTCCCTCTACTAGCTTGGTATTTCTTTCTTTTAATAATTATTCTTAAATTTTAATACGTATGCATCACTCAACAGAATCAAAAGTTAGCATCTCCACTCTTCCCCCAGCAATACAAGACCTTGGAATAGTTCAACTGTGATCACTAAGCTTTCCCATCTTCCATCTGATTTTTGCCTGGTGTTACAGTTCCACTTTGTATTTATACTCTTTCTCCAGTATCCACATGCTTTCCTCTTGCATCTCCTTCAAGTATTTGCTCAAAAGCCACCTTTTCAGAGACATCCACACTCATCATCCTATTTAAAACCACAACCTGCCATCCCCACCACCACACCCCCCTCAGAGTCCCTATAAACTCCTTAGCCTCATTTATTTTTTCCATAGATATTACCACCTTTCTAAATCGTGCTATAGCATTTATTTATTATGTTGTCATGCATTGTGTTTCCCTTCACTAGGATTCTAGAAAGGTTTTGTTTTTTTTTTTATGGGTATATCCCAAGCACCAAGAAGAACACCTGGTACATAGTAGTCACTCAAAATACTTACGTATACTATCACAGTGTCTGCGTCTGAAGAGTAGACTACAGGAGGTGAAGAATGGGAGCAGGAGGAGCCACTAAGAAGCCACTGCAATTATGCACAGAATCAAGGAGGTGCCATTTCGAATGGTGAGCAGTGCTCAAGTTCGGAAAATACAAAGACAAATTCAACAGGATTTACTAAGGACTAAAGCCTCCAAAGTTGGGGGCCTGAGCCATCAGAAGGATGGGGCTGCCAGGAACTGAGACAGGGAAGACGTGGGAGGGTCCGGATGGGGGTGTGGGATATCGGAAGCTCAGTTTGGACTGTGTATGTAATTCCGAAGTCACATATATTGCAATTCTTCATTAGTAGATAATGGACCAGAAATATTTTCTCTATTGCTCAGTCGAATTTTCATTAGGATCCTTGTATTTTTCTCCATTTTATAACTTAGTTTTCTGCTTTCTATTAAAAAGTGGTAACTAGTTGCATCAAAGTTGTTTTTCTTAATGGCAAGGCTAATTGACTAGAACATTCAGTAGGTGTAAATATGTGTTCACTTGAATTAAATGGCATTGTAAACAACATCAAATCATCCAATAAAGATATTTATTTGAAACACAGAAACAGTGAGAAATGTCAGTTAATGTCAGAAAAAGTGCCGGTTTATTATTGAATAACAATATAACCGATATAATGGATTTAAAACATTAAGCCACATGAAGCTGATTTATATTGCAACGTAGGTAAAATAACAGTGTCCTCTGTCCTAGTCGTTAGCACGCCAACCTAGGCAGAGCTTCATCTGAAGTTCACTAGTCACCAAAGCAGGTCTGTTCCAGATTTAAGTACCAAGAGAAGATTTTGTCCAGAGAACTACTTGGCTACACTTTTCCAGTATCTATTTTTATCTTTCTAGGTCAGTCTCTTCAAATGAGAAAAAGGCAATAAATTATTAAATTTTTACAAAGTAAAAATTTAAGATCACATTATGTCGTCGAGTGTTCAAAATGTCTACTCTTGCTTTATTCCCAATCTCTGAGGAAACGGACAATATGATGCTGCAGTTTATTTAAAACAGTAAAAAAGCTCTACACAGAAGCTGAGTCTGTGAAACTAATATACAGGGTTTTGCACAGGCCTGGCCCAGTGTCAGCATCTAATACATGTCGTCCTTTTACATAACACTGTGCTGCCTGCATGTTACAATCTGGATTGTAATCCAGGCACCCTCAGCAGTGATTCCGGATTGGGTCCACAGAAAGCTCCTCGGATGGTTAAAACTGCACCAGAGGGCGACTCAGGGTTTCCCTGTGGCCCAGGGTTCTGGAGCGGGCTAATCCTGCCGCCTGTCCGGCCTCGGCTCTGTCCCTGCCCGCCGGCCCGGGCCGCTGCGCATCCCCTCGCTGGCCTAGAGCCTGTGCGGACGGACGCACGGAGCCGGGCGAGAGCGTGGTCCCCAGAGGCGGGGGGCGGGGACACTCACTGGCCCGGCCGTTGAAGGTCTGCGCAGTCGGGGCATTCTCTGCGTCCCACCATGGTTCTGAGGAAGAAACTCAATTGTTTATGGACCTTAAGTCTCTGTCTAGTAGCCAGTAAATCGCTTCCCAAAGTCCCCTCCATCACAGACCAGAGTTTTATAGACGCTTGCGTCAAGAGTCACAACGAAATGCGTGGCAAAGTCGATCCCCCCGCGGCCAACATGAAACACATGGTGAGAAAGAACTCGGGCCGTGATCTTATTTCTCTGGTTCGTCCTAAGGCATCTGGGGGATAAATTCATAGACTCATTTGTATGAAATAAGTCTGGACTTTCAGCATGCAGTTAAAAGTCACAGGTTGGCTGGGCTGTCTCCTCCAGGGTAGCATAGGAGTGGATGGGAAAGGAAAGCTTGAAGTTCTTCCTTGCCAAGACTTAGAGGATTTCGCTCCCTTGTGCGGGGTTCGGGACGGGGTTCGGGACGGGGAGAGGAGGAGGTTGGGGAGGGCCGTGTTTGTGAATTGCTTGGTTTATGGTTCAGGCTTCTCTACGCTGCACGGGTTCCGCCCCCTCCGTTTTGGCTAGCGCTTCCCAAACCACACAGTCAAGGTACTGTGCATAAAAGAACTAGCACTGGCATGGAGTCTGCTTTGTTCTCTTATCTATTTTTATATCTTATGAACTCAAGGTTGAAACAACAGTACATGTGTGGTGTTCATCTGAAAAGAACAATGTTCTACAAGGATATAAATAGTGAAATCACTGCTTGAAGAATATCAGATTGTCAATTCATGAAAAACAATAAATATGTGAAGTTTAATTTCAAAAACCTTGACTGATTGTTGTAGATCTCCGTCATATAGACAATAAAGCAAAACAAGAGTGCTCTATTGAAGAATGAGCATAAAGAACATGGGATTATTAAAGTAATCCATAGAATTTACAAATTTTTAACAAATTGACTATGAATTTTACTGCTGGAGATTTCCCTTGCATTATAACTTTTTCTTGCATGTAAATAGGATGTCATCATGAAATTATGAACATAACTGTGGATAGCATTAGTCTTGCTTATGTATGTACTAGGCAGATGTAGCTGTACTGTAACTCTTATATCTGTTCCAGCTTTCTTCCTGTCTAGCCAGCAGAAAATAAAGTGGAAGTAGTTATAAAGTCACAACTCAGGCGCTAAAACAAGCTCAAAACTGCACTATGCTGCTACATGAGAAAAGGATGTAAATTTAGGAAATATTGGATTAAGCAAAAATAAACCCATCTCTTTAATCAGAATTGTTAAAATGTTTTGATATGTAACACATACTTTAATCTCCAACAGGTTGGGACGGTCAATGGCATGTTTTGTTATGCAGTTTGCTCTATATTTCAGTATCTTTTTTTAAGAACTATTTTATGTTATAAAAATGCTACTTAAATATGTGTGTGTATATTTACATATATATACACATATTCTATATAAACACATATATATGCTATATTTTCCAAAGGAAACAATGAAAGGGTAAACATAAAATTAATTTAAATTTACATAACTACCTGCAGGAGAGAGGGAAGAAAGGAGTAGGGTGGAGGATACATGAATGAAAACAAGCCTTCTTTGGACTCACTTTGTTTTGTAGTTTGACTTTGTAAACGTGTAAAAGTCTTTGTTGTTTTTACCATTTGCGTTGTGGGGGATCAGAATTGGCCACCCCAAAATATGTCTCTTTGCCTTGCCTTGATTATTTTTAAGAACAAAAGACTCTGAAAGAAACTATGACCTTCCCTCTAAGTGCCTAAAAGAAATTTAAAATAAAGGCCTGTCCCCAGGACAGGCCATCACCATAGATAACTCTGGGTTTCGGCAGACTGGGAGGACCCTTGCTAAGCCCACTCTTATCAAAGTTCTATTTACCAAACATTTGCTTTTCCATCTCCATGTGAATTGCCTTCCTCTCCTTTGAAGCCCCAAACCACCACCCCCAACATCCTCCTTTGTCTTTAGCTGAAAAAGGTGTTTAAGATGAGAACCTCTGCCATTTTGGCAAGTTTCTCAGTTTGCCTGAGTCTCTCTCATGTATACATGTTATAAAGCTTTGTTTAATTTTCTCCTGTTATTCTGTCTCATGTGAAATTAATTCATAGTCCAGCCAGAAAGACCTAGAGTGGCTACAGGAAATGTCTTCCTCCCCTACAGCATTTTCTGGGTCTCTTCATTTCTGTGTGCAAATCCATACTTCCACCTGGTATCATTTTCTTTCCACCTAAGGGACATTAACATTTCTTATACTGTGAGTCTGTCGGTAATTAATCCTATCAACTTTTTATGTCTTTGAAGTCTTTATTTCTTCTTAATTTTTGATAGATATTATCACTGGGTATAGAATTCTAGGTTGGACTTTGAAGATGTTTTCCCACTATCTTCTATCTTCTTACACATTGTTTGTGATGAGAAATCTGCTGGATCATTGTCTTTGTTCCCATGTACCTCATATGTATTTCTCCTCTGGCTGCTTTTAAGAATTTCTCTTTATCCTTTGTTTTGAACAATTTGATTATGATGTGCCCTGGTATAGTATTGTTCATGTTTCCTGGGGTTCATTGAGCTTCTTGAATCTGCAAATTTTAATCAAATTAGGAAAATTTTAGCCATTGCAGATAATTTTTTATCAGATGCCAGATACTTTGAATTTTACTTTGCTGGGTGATGGTTATTTTTGTATTTCTATAAATATTCTTGACTTTTTTTCCTGCCTTGCATTTATGTTACTTAGCATTTTGATCCATTTGTGTCTTGTTTTTAAGATTTGTTAGGCAGGACAAAAGCAGTGGTTTAGCCTAGGGATAATTATCACCCACTATTAAGGCAAGACCTTTCTGAGTACTCTACACAATTCCCAAGACCGTGAGGTTTTCCAATCTGCCTAGTGGGAAGAGGCATTATACCGAATACTGTGTGAGCCTTAGGTAATATTCCCTCTTATCCTTTTGAGTGATTCATTCCCTGGCCTAGGGTAGGTTCCTTATATGCATATGCTAATCAGCACTCTGCTAAACACTCCAGGGGGCCCTCTGAACGTCTTCGGAGTTCTCTTTCTGTGCAGGTCTCTCCTTTCTGGTACTCCTTTATGGCCTGAAAATTCTCTCCAGGCAGTAAGCTCAGGCACTCGGAGGGCTCCCCTTGCTGGTTCCCTCCTCTCAGGGATCACTGTTCATTGTTGCCTGATGTCCTGTGTCTTGACAGCTGCTTTTTCACATATTTTGTTTTTATTGTTTCAAGTGGGAAGGTAAAGCTGGTCCTGTTACCCCATCTTGGCCAGAAGCAGAAGTGCTGACTGTTGACTAAGTGTTCAACAGGAGTTTGCCCTGTCTTCCACTACTAAATCATCCAGGAAAACCAGGTGCCTCATTTCTCATATCAATTTCTGTATCTGTCAGAAAATGATAGACTATGCTCTGTTAACAAATAAATCCTGAAATCGCACAGGCTTTCATTTCCCATTTTTTATTTTTTATAGACATTAAACTATAAAACATAATGATTTGATATATGTGTATATTGTGAAATGATCACTACAATCAGTTTAGTAAATGTCCATCATCTCGTATAGTTACAAAATTTTTTCTTGTAATGAGAACTTTTAAGATCTAATCTCTTAGCAACTTTTAAATATGCGAGACAGCATGGTTAACTGTAGTCCCCATTCTGTACTTTATATCCCCAGAACTTATTTGTCTTGTAACTGGAAGTTTGTACCTTTTGACCATCTTCATCCATTTTGTCCATGCCCCCAACTCCCCCTCCAGCAACCGCCAATCTGTTCTCTGTATCTACGAGTTTGGTTTTTTTAGATTCCACGTATAAGTGAGCTCTTACAGTATTTGTTTCTCACTGTCTGCCTTATTTCACTTAGAATTCTTCAAACAAAAGTTTAATATCTCACTCACACAAAGTCCACTAAACAATACATGTTTAGTATCTTACTTGCACCACTCTCCACATCACCTCTTCTCCATGCAGTGCTTTCAGCTGTTTACATCTTGGTGCCATCATGCCAACACATGTTCTTCAGAGTCACCATTGAGAAAGCTAGAGGGTTGCACAGGAGTGTTTATGATCCGGCCTGGAGGTGATATGTCGTTCCTACCCATATTCCTCTCAGCAAAATTAGTCTGATGACCCTAGCCTGCTTGCATTAAATGTCTCTACCACAGAACTGCTTCTGTGGCCATCAAATATTCTTTTATTCCTTTCCTCCTGTACGCAGAACAAATTCAAGGCCTCCCTCAAAGGGTAAAACCCAATATCCTATCCAGCCACTGAATCAGAGTCTAACATCTCTGAGTGGTATGCAACAATCTCTCCAACAAGGTTGGTTGTGGGCACTCTTGGCCTAGTGACTGTGTCTGCCCTCCACATAAGCAATATTCAATAGTAGCACAAAGAGAAGACAATCATAACAAACACTTCTATTCAGAAAGTGGAAGAATGGGAGCCACACAGCAATCATTGGTTCAGAGCAATTCTGAAATCTGTAGGGCAGGTATTGTGAAGACCTGCTAGACTGGGGGTCAGAAATTTCTTTAATTAGAGGTAGTAAGAGTTCCCTTATCCATTGGTTTCTGTGGTCCCTATCTTCTTCCTCTGCAATGTTCTTGCTCATCCATCATCCTTCTTGGCCCAGTGTAAATTGGGCATTGGGAATGGCATCTTTGAGGGCTGCATAGCCTCTCAGACTGCTTTCTGCCCACAGAAGTTTAAGGTCCAAAGGTCATTGAAAGTATTCAGCATTCCCAGGCTTTTTCACAAGAGGTTTACAATACCTTTGGGAATACGTCTCTCTCAAAAACTCTGAAGGTCTTTCAGCTATATGCTTCCAATCAGTTCCAGGTACCAGGACCCACACTTCAAGTAGAGTTTGGAGAAATTTTCAAGCCTTTATTCCTTTGTTTTCTCACCCTAGTGCTTTTCTTTCTCATTTTAATGCCAGTTACCTTGAAACAAGACTTTTGGGAAAATGGGTACACCCTTAACCTGGTCCATTTGCTGAGGCACTTTTTAATCAACTAAGAGGACTTCCTTGGAGTCATGTACTTCATCTCTTCTCTGCCCTGAGGCTTTTTAATCACATGCAAGTTTTATTCCATTTGTTTCTCAAAGCCTTTTAAAAATCTTATATCTTCTTATATGCTATATAGAAGCAATTCGTTTTCCATATCTCAAAAAGTCCCACATT